GATACGTGAAATATAGCGCATATGCCCTCTAACCGTTGAGTAAACAACAGAGCTACGCTAGGTATTCCTCATTTCCATCTAATTGGAAAAACGAAATTAATTTGGGTACGAAAGTAAAAAAATGTGAGGAGCCCTCTACAAGTTTGTGGGCAAGCCGCACGTACTTGTACACACTTAGGCGTCCATAGGCTTCAAGAGAAAGAGCGGGGCAGAGATAAAGAGCCTATGCCCAAGAACTGCTGCGTAAGTTTATTACTTTAAGGGTGGGTTGTGGCTGATTTTAAGTTTAGAAAAATTTTGTTCAGGCATATATTGTTTCCAACATTTAAAATATAAATTACATACCAATTGAGTTTTAGTTTGTCCTGATCTAGTAGCAACACAGTGGTTTAGAAATATTAAGAAATTATTTATTTCAGATATCTATCCTTAATACGGAAAAGTTTTTTGATAGAGTTTTTGCAATTATTTAGTTTGATGAATTGCTTCATGTTTAAGCTAAGTTCCATAACATCTTTTATTGTTATAGTACCATAGGGATTTATATTTAGTGTATTCTTTTTTTTTATAAGTGTATAGCCATTTAATTGCATCATGAACTAGATTATGTTCTGAGTTCCTTATGATGTGGGCGAGGAATTGAATGCGCCGTTTTTTTAAGGTAATGTTTATTGGGGTGTGTTTTGATACCTTCCATAGATTATTGTTGGATATTACTCTCGGGTAGAAGATTCCGTTAATAATTCGGAGGCAGTTATCTATGAATGATTGTAATTTTCTGTTCTCCGTTTTGTTTAATTCCCATAGATCTCCTCCATATAGCAATATTGGAATAACTGTGGAATTAAAAATTCTTAGGCTGGTGTGTACAGATATTTCTTTTGTTTTCCATATTTTCATGTATTTATAAAAGGCTCCTCTTGCTTTTTGTATCCTTATTTTCAGCTCTTCTTTATAACCTCCTGTGTTGTCAAACATGACGCCTAGATATTTTATTTTGTCAACTATTTTGATTTCATTTCCATCGATTGTGAAATTTAGATTTTGAGTTGCGTTTGGAGAAGAAAGAATACAAGTTTTTTTGAAATTTATTTTTAACCCCATTCTTAGGCTAAGGGTTCCCTAATAAATATAGCATATCTTTCGTTTCTTCGTCGATATGATGACTATGTCATCGGCATAAGATATTATTTTGTTTTCTAAACGTATTGTTGTGTTTGAGCTTATTTCTATTAGATTTGCGCATCCTAGGACCTCTTTTATAATTTTACTGATCATAATATTAAACAGTAACGGTGATAGAGTACAGCCTTGTTTCACTCCTTTTTTTATTCTGAAGGTGGGGGATATTTTATTGTTTACTTTAAAGCAGGCAGATAGTTTAGAGTAATGATTTCTCAGAATGTAGATAATATTGGGTTCGATCCCACTTTCCAAGAGTGTCCTCCATAGGGCCTCGTGATTCACAGTATCGAGCTCTACTAATCTATAAAAGTGAAGAAGGCAGGGATTTTATATTTGTAGCATTTTTATATTGTTATTTTTAATGCTAGAATTGGCTCTAGAATATTTTTATTTGGCCTATAAGCGCAGATGTATTTGGGTAGTAAGTCTGGAATTGAAGACATGATCCTGTTTTTTAGAAGGACCATTAAAATCTTAGACACTGTAGATGTAAGGGCTACCGCACGATAGTCTTTAAACTCTGTTGGGTCATTTATTTTGGGAAAATTGCATAAATAGGACTTATTCCATTCAACAGGTGTTTTGCCACTATCCCAGATTTTGTTATATAGAGATTACAGGAAAGAGGATACAGTTTTGGTTGCTGTTTTTAGATGTTCCGCTGTTATATTATCAAGCCCAGGGGCTTTATTATTGCGTAATTTTTTAATTACTTTTTAGATTTCCTCAGTGGAGAAACCGGATGGGGGTGGAGTTACGTGCTCATTTATGTTTGTCTGGCAGATGGCTTTCCTTGAATCAAAGACTGTCATATAGTAATCTAACTATAATGCTATTTGTTCATCCTGGCCCGAAATTAAATTTCCATTAGCTAAGACTAAAGAAGGTAGCTTCTTGAAACTGTAGGGTTTGCAGAAATATTTTAGTTTATTATAAACTTCATATATTCTGCTTTCTTTCATATCTTTCTCTATTTATGCTTTTTCTGCCACAAATTTCCTTCTATCACTTCTCAGCAATTTCTGATTCTCTTTCCATAGTTCTCTGTTCAAGTTATTGCCTTCTCTAAGCTGGCTGATTTTTCCTAGAGTTTCATTGGATAACCACTCTCTCCTTAAGTATACATTTATATTTGGTAACATGTTATAGGATTCAGTTATATCTTTCTTGAAAAGATTCCAACATATATCTACGTTTCCATTTGAGGTTATATTTAGGAAATTTTCTCTCTTCCTGACCAACATTTGATCAAATTGTTGTATATCCTCTTGTGATTTTGCTTTTATTTGTTTACGGTTAAGGATAGGTTTTAAGAAATTTATTCTATGTCTGGTCATATTTGGGCCTATCTCTTCGCGATATCCCCATATATTTTTTATTGTCATTTTTGCCACTATCGCTCTGTGGTCTGACAATTTAATAATAGTGGACACCATAACATCGTCAAACCACCCATGAATATTTGATAATAATGAAATCGATTTGAGATTTTTGGTTAGCTCTTACAAAGGTGTATGTGTTTATTTCTCGATAGAGAAAGAAGGTGTTTTCTATTTTGAAGTTTTTGTTTTTAAAATAATAAAGTAATTTTTTACTATCTTCATTGTTGGTTTGTTGTATAGTTGCATTTCCGATAGTGTTGGTATTAATATATTCTACGCTTTTGCCAATTTTCAGATTGAGGTCTCCTAGTATTATAATGTAAGTCTCAATGGCAGAGAATCAATCAAATTTAACCTATCATTTCTTCTTGGTGGGGCATATATATTTACAATTATTGTCGGTTTGAATTTTATGTTTAGATATAGGAGACCGCATCTTTCTGATATGGGTACAAATTTAATAATTGATTTTTCTATCTTTTTGTTTGCTAGGAATGCGACTCCTGACCAGCTATTAGAGGTGGTACCGGAACAAAGAGTTTATAATCTTTAAAATCTGCGGTATTATTCCCTGGGCAGTGGGTTTATTGGATGCCAATTATATAATTTTATATATGCAAAATCTCTAAGCAGTACTGTTAATTTATTTTTCATTCCGTTTATATTTAGAGACGTAATCCATAACTTACCATAAACTGTGTGCTCCGAATTTATGGGTGCCATATTATTTACCGTTCTAAGATAGGAATCAAAATCTAAAAGTTTTGCAGGTCAAAAAGAGAAATCAAAAGAACAACTATATTATTATTAACTATATGTTTCTCAAATGTGTTAAAGACTGGTGATGGGAGTATATAATTTAGTAACAGCTTATGATTATCTAGAGCGAAAAATAAACCGTGTGTGTCAAAACTATATTTAATCGCTCATGGGAAATAGAAGAGCAAATAAGGCTAATAAGGGTAGTATTGACTCTTTTACATTGTATAGTTTAAATTTTAAATAAGAGTTTGTAGTTAAATAAAAATAAATTTTAATAACTGTATATGCGATCATCATTTTCCATAATATAATTGTTGTTTTTTTTTTGTTTTTTTTTAAATAAAACTAGACGAAGTCGGAGAAAAACTAGTGCCCCATTATTAAATATTCTATTTCGTTCTATATTTTGAGATAAAGAATTTCGTGTAGGACTAAATACAGTTAGAAAAACTATATATCTTAAGAAAATTAAATCTTTTATAAAATAAATTTGGGAGGATAAAAGGAGGTAAAAGCGACAAAAAAATTTATGGAGAGAAAATAAATAAGCGAAATATTAACCTTTAATCCGGAGTATTTACTAGGATCCGAGTGATTGGGTAAATTACGATAAATATAAAAGTATTGCAATATAAATTAAAATTTAAAATTTATTTTAAGTTTTGAGTATGGCAGAAAAATTCTTAAATATAATATAAATGGGTGAAAAAGAAAACAATTATGTAGAACTACTCTAGTTGTTTCCGTTTCGATATCTAATTTATTACAGAAAAGTAAATAAAATAATTAAAATAAAAAAACATGGAGATCATAATAGTTTAGTAATTTACATGTTATTTATTTATAATATTCAAAATTTCTAAAAATTATAAATTAAATTACAAAATTATAAATTACCATTTATTTATAATATTCCAAAGTTATGATCATTTTGGAAATAAAAGGAAAAGAAAACAAACAAAAATAATAAATAATAATAAAAGGAACCCAACAAAATTATAATACATGAATAAATAAAAAATAAGATGGAGTTCTGAATGCTAAATTTAATAATTTTAAAAAGGATATAAATAATAATTTAAAATGGAATCTAAAATGGAGGATATATTTAATATAGGAGAAGAGGAGATTTAAAAATAAAATAAAATGGTGAATAGTTTAGTAAACTTAGTTTTAAATTACTATAAGAGAAGGGTAGATTAAAACCTAAAAAAAATAAAATGAAGGATAACTTAGTAAACTTAGTTCTAAAATTAACATAAGAGGAGGGGAGATTAAACAGAAAAGTAAAATTTAAAATGGAATCTGAAATGGAGGATAGAATTAATATAAGAGAAGGGGATTGAAGCAGAAAAGTAAAATGGTGTATAACTTAGAATTTAGTCTAAAAATACATTCTATACTAATTTGATTATATTAGAAATTAAGGTCTTAAAGGATTTAAGTCTATATTAAAATTGATTATATTAGAAATTAAAGTCTATACTTAAATTGATTATATTAGAAATTTGGTTTTAAAGGATTTAAGAAGGAACTTAGTCCTCATTTTTATCTTATATGTATTAAAGTTATATTAAGATTAAGGTCTTACAGAAATTTTGAGTAAATGTAGATATGTCTAATTCCATCTTATATATATTAAAGATTGCAAAAATAATATTTGGAAATTACATCTGAAAGAGAAGGTGAATACAAGGTAACCTGGGTACTTTTACAGTACGTGGTAATCTGGATCTTGGTTATTCAGCTGGATTAATTCGTTTAACTTTGTTAATAAAATTTATAACTCACATCATTTATAACCCACATCATGCTAAAACATATCAAAAATATAGAATAAAAATTGATACTTGTGCTTTGAGACAACAATCATTGTATTCTCACCAACGAAAAGTTTAGGTTATAATTCTGATCATTACCATTTTAAATCAAGGAGATAATTTAAATTTTTAATCTAGTTGTCAATTAATTCATTTAAAGGTAGCATCATATCCTATCCTCTTTTTCCAGCAAAATTTTATAAATTATTGAACTTAATCATGTGTAAAAAACCAATTTACAATCCTCAATTTATCGTAGTAACTTGTTTTCTATATATTAATATTTCTTGCTGACAAATAATGGATAACCAAACTACAAAATGGCGCTACAGCTGATTACAATGTGTGGACACTTTTATAATGCATTGAATAAATGAATCGCCAATCTATAGTTATATATATCATTGCCCCTGTGTCAAAAGAGTCTGTTCGCGAAAAACATAGTTTGAATGGTAAGGCGTCTTTTTATTATTGGTAGTCGGTCTAAATCCATTAATATTTTAATTTCTTCGTATTATTAGGGCTAATTATTTATTCGAGTTGTTCTTTTGGAGGAGGGAGGGGGGTGCTTCTTAATAAAAAAATTTTTATGTTTAAACCAATTTTTCTATCTCCCAGAATAACATAAGGATTTATATGGCTACGCTTCATAGAAAATGTAAAAAAGTATGATGGCACAGAAAATGTAAAAAGGATATTTTCTGCCTTTCGATTTAGGGTTGTACACTTGAAGTAAACAACATTGTTTTGCAAGAACAAAGATTGCTCTCACAAAGTAAATATTTATTCCAAAAATTTTCTCATCTTCAGAACAAAATGACGATAGTAATGCACAATCACTAGTTTCGCCACTCTAATAAAATATATGATATTCGCCAGATTAATAAAATATAGCAACTGAACTAAAATGGAAATATATTATAATTTGTTATAAAAATTGCTAAGTTATTTTTAATAATACATGAGGTATGTTCGATTCATTCAATCTTAGCTAAACATATAGTTAATATTTTTCAATATCCATTTTTTTTATCTATAATCACATAACTAGAAAGAGACTCTTCGAGAAGCAAGAACCTAACAAAAATCAATTAAGGAAATCATTATTCTATTGTTTTTCCCAATCCTGAGTCACAATAGTCGAAATTTCATCATCAGAGATTACATGAATTAAGTTCTGAGATGTGTAGCCATTCAATTCGACAATCTATCTATGATGCTGAATATTGTTTCATGTCTTGTTGTGATACTATGGCCTTGATCAAAAAAATGCTTACCAAGTTAATACTAAATGTCTCACTCAAAAATAATAAAAATGATTTCTGAGGACTAATTATCTGTTTGGCTCAATGTTTTAAATATGACTTTTCTTAGCGCCTTGCTAATTTAATCTATTTCAGACAAAGCTCCATTCAAAATCTTTATATATTTTTAAGCCCGAGCCTAGCCATTATTTAAATTTTAGGCCCGAGTTGTCCTATCCCAAATTTAATTAAAAAATATAACTAAACGCATATTTAAACAATCAATTAATATAAATATTAATTCCTTTATTCTAATCATAGAGAAATCTATTTTATTGCTTTGAATCTTTTTTATATATTTTGAGTCATAAAAATAGAAAGCCTTAGCCCTATTTTCAAAAAAAATAATAAAATATTTTTAAACCCAAGCTCGATTTTGACATAATTGCCAGGTTCAACTAGGTCTGTCTAAATGTCGATAAATATAAAATTGTAATTTTCATCAAACTCATTATCGTTATTGCAAGTAATGTAATTCATTTAAGATAATGCATTCACGACAATGCATTTGAGACAATGCATTCGCGATTATTTCTCGATAATACATTCGCGCTAATACAATCGCGTGTAAGCGCGATCATACATTTGCACCAATGCATTCTTATATTAAATTAGCTTTAATATTTTCGCGATAATGCATTCGCTGTAATTTATTCGCTATAATGTAGTCGCTATGCTGCATTCGTGGTAATGTATTTGCAATATTATATTCGAACGCCTTTATTTAACAGCAATAAATGGTGTCATATAAAGTTATTTTATTTTTTTATTCAACACGCTTGTTTTACATATAAATATTAAAAAAAAGTTGTTTATTATTTTTTTTAATAAATTTTTTTTTACGTATTTTTTTTTAATAAATTTTTTTACGTATTTTTTTTAATAAATTTTTTTACGTATATTTTTTATCTAATGGAAAAAATGGTAATTTTAAAATTGATGCTTATTTAATATATTTTTATTTAATAGGAATTAAGATATAATTTAGAACTAAAATATTTTTCTACTTTAAAACAGGTTGTGAGTAATTATGAGAAGAATAATCATCAGCTCATTATTCTTCTCAAAAAGGATTAATTTCAGATAAAAATTCATTAGTTTTACAAGAAGGGGATAAGAATATAATGAAAAATATTAAAATGCCCATAAAATACAAACGAGGATCAATACACAAAAGGCCTAAAAAAATGCAAAAAAAGAGTATTATTTAAAAATTATAAAATATTTCACAGTTAGCAATTTTTGAAAATGATATTATAATATACATGTATTTTAAAAAAGATTTTTCCCAAGCTAATCAAAATATGACTGAAACAATTAACCTACCACATTCCAATACAGAAAACACTCAACTATATGGTATCACTAAAAATTAAATGTTTATTGTTTATTAAAATACATTAGCAGTCAAATTATCTTCATCTCAAATTATTTCAAAAAATTTGTTAGGCACTCAAGTTAAGATACCAGAGAGTAAACATTTTACTTAACAAAAAAATAGCCACAAACTTATATTCCCAATATCATTTTCAAAATATACCAAAAAATTTAGGCCCTCAGTCAAAAACTATTCCAGCTAGTATATTTTGTGTTTTAATTTTTATTAAATATAAAATAAAAATAGCATTCGAATTCTCTTCATCTCAAAATATTTCAAAAAATATATTAGGCTCTCAAATTAAGCTACCAAATAGTAAACATTTTTCCTTTATTTTATATAACAAAAATTATAGCAACCAAAACTTTAGACTACACTGGATATTCTCTTCAAAATCTTTCGAAATTTTTTTAGGAAACCATAAATAAAACAAATAATTATATATTTAGAATGTTTATATTAAATTTAAAAATATATAGGAACCAAATACAATCTAATAGAGCTTCCAGAAAACATAACAATCAAGATTTCAAAAACCTAATAAAAAGCAATTTATAATTTATATTGGATTCTAATATATCAAATTTTATTTCTGTATATATATTTACAATTATAATATATTATTGTATTTTATAATACATAATTTTAATTATATATATATAGAATTATAATATATTATTGTATTCTTACAAATTTTATTTCTATATATATTTTCAATATATTTCTAAAATATAGAATAAAAAATATAAAATAGATTTGTTATAAATAATAAACATTCAATATTTTTGACAAAAAAAACAATAAAAATAATTCTTTATGTTAAATTATATTGTTTAAGATATATTCATAGGAGGATTCATAGAATAGTTTTTTGCAATGCCTGATCACCATTAAAAATATTATAAGAATTACACAATATAATAAATATTTAAATAAAGTAAATTTTTAGGTTTGAAAGATTTAAACAAAGTATAAAACAGATTGTGAAAATCCTATAAATAGAAATATTAGGAGTAACATAATTAGCAAAGTTATAATATTAAGAATTATTTGAAACAATTTATTGAAGAGATCAAAATTTGAAGCCTTTCCTAAATTTTCAATGACATAAGAATAAGCTGTAGACATTGATGTTCATGTTTTTCACAAGTCCCTTGCAATTTATTTTAGTATCTTTCAGCCAATTTATTTTTATGTTATGTAAAAAAATAATAGCATATTTGGGATTTGATTAAGAAATCTGTCACCATGTCTTAATAAGCTAACAGAAATATTTTATTTTTATATATAAAATATCAAACTGAATAAATATTATTTAGTAAATTTTGATATTACATTCACCTTACGATTAAAATAAAAAATTGTATTTATAAATCTTAGAACATTAAGCTTAGGCCATGCATCTATATAAATATGAAAAGCATAAAAGTCTGGTGTACCAGGATATATAGGTTGTTTTACTTTATTAACATTATATGACAAAATTGCATGAAGGTTAATTTATATAATGAATATTACATTTTTAATTGTATCAAAATTATAATAAAAACCTAATTCATGATTAAATAAGACATTCAATTAATCCCATTAATTGACCCTATTGTTTGGGAATATTGTTAAATTCCTCAACATCTATAAAAAATTTTAACAATTGGAATATAAATGTTTTAAATATAATAATTTGATAAGGTATTCTTCTCATAATTACTCACAAACTGTTTTAAAGTAGAAAAATCTTTTAGTTCTAAATTATATCTTAATTTCTATTAAATAAAAATATATTAAATAAGCATCAATTTTAAAATTACTATTTTTTCCATTAGATAAAAAAAATACGTAAAAAAATTTATTAAAATACGTAAAAAAAATTTTACTAAAAAAAATAATAAACAACTTTTTTTAAATATTTGTTTATTAAAGAAAAAAAAACAAGCGTGTTGAATAAAAATATAAAATAACTTTATATGACACCATTTATTGCTTTTAAATAAAGGCGTTCATTATATTCGCAGTAATCGATATTTGCGGTAATGCATTCGCGATAATACATTTCGCGCTAAAATTTCCCGTATTAACATGTAATTGTTTTATATTACCCCACATTATAGATGATATAAACACATGTTTTGAGACTTTTATACCACTCATGCATTTGATATGAAAATTAAAAAAGTTTGTGTTTCTGCACCAAGTAAGATTATATTACATGGTGAGCATGCTGCTGTTTATGGAAAGGTTTAATTAAATGTTAACCGTTTTTTAATATATATATTAGCTTGTTTTAGCTTGTAGTTTAAACAAATATACTTATATTAAAATAGTTAGAAACAATGAAGATATTATAAATTTGCAATTTAAGAAATTAGGCTTCTCCTATGCATTTAGCTTAGAGAAACTGTCTAAACAAAATTTTACATATGGTAAGTTTTCAAGCATATTTTATAATTAATATTTATTCTTAGATGATGAATCTTTTAACTATGAATTTGATAAAAAAAAATTTCAACTATTTAATGGCAATAATTCCCAAAATATTAAAGAATTTCCACCATTAATAATGTTGTCTATTAGAGCATTTGTATATTTATATTATTTTATTGTTATAAAAAGGTATATTTGAATGATTACTAATGTTTTATAATTAATTAAGTGATACAAATTTTCAATGTGAAAATCAGAGAAACACAAGTGGCTTTATTGTTTCAATTGAATCCCAAATTCCAATAGGAATGGGCTTAGGCTCCTCTGCATCATATTGTGTGTCTTTAGCAACTTCATTTCTGATGGTTATTGGCAAGATTCCTTATAAATGTAATTAAATTATATAATAAAAAATAAGGCTGTTTAATATTTTAATTATTATAGCAAATGATTTTAATAAAACTCATCTAGAATTAATAAACAAATGGTCTTTCCTTGCTGAAACCATAATTCATGGCAAACCTTCTGGCATTGATAATTCTGTCTGCACTTATGGTATTATAAAAATAAATCAAAGGGCATTATTAGAATAGATATTAAATCCCCTAGAACTTGGCCTTTTTTTGATGACAATATATATTTATTTATTCAAATAATTAAAATGCAATTAAAAATTAAGGATTCAACAAAAATTATTTATATATTTAATAATATTGTGTTTATTTAAAAAGCTAAATTTGAATTATTGTTAAATGGTCCGATTTGGATCAATTTTTAAAAATGGTCCAATTAAGATTTTAGCTATAATAATATTATCGGGCTGTTTTAAAAATTGGGCCATTTAACAACACCAGTTGAAACCATGTAAATGCAAGGCATTGGGGAGAGAACTTGATTTTTTTAGTATTTATCCAGTATTTCACACTTAAACAATAAACTCATGATTTATCTTATTTCACCATTTTTAATCTATTTTTTAATTGATTTTGTTTAAGTAACATATGACCAATAATTCTATACCAAAAATAGGCCATCATATGTTGGAAAGCTTATATAATATTCATTATCATTATTGATCTAAATTTATAAACATTTTTCTCATTATATTTCCAGCAAATAAAATTTTTACAGAGATCTTTTTCCAGGTTCAGGTTTAGATATTTTTTTAAAAAAATGAGGTTTATTAGGAATCCTTGTTCTAAAAAATTTTTAAATGATGTTCTATAAAAATTCCTGACAGTCCAGTTGAGCTAGGTTTGATCCAGGTGTAATATAAATATAAATTACCAGTATTAACCAAACTATTGAATTCTATTTGTAAAAAGGGAAAATTGTGGCTTCAGCTTAATATTTATTAACATCTCTATCGTAGTTATTATCTTTATCATATTAATGATATAAATAAGAAAATAAAAAGGGGGTAAGGCTGCATTCATAGTGGAGACGGATCCGTTTTTACATCCGTTCCGTCAAAAGTCAAACTCATTAAAAATGATATAAATGTTCATAGACTATAAAAAAATTGTAAGTAACGTTATAATGCTCTATAAGATTTTCCGGATCAAAAAGTCAAAATATTTTGACTTCAAAATTTGCCGGATCCGTTTTTAAGACTGAAGGTATTGGAACGGACGCACTATGAACATATATATCATTTTTAATGAGATTGACTTTTGACGGAACGGATGTAAAAATCGGATCCGTCTCCACTATTAATGCAGCCTAAAAGATCCCAATAAAAAAAAAGGAGTATACGTCCATTTTTTTCCTGCAAAGATAGAAAATACAGCTCCTATGGTGAGAATAGTGAAAATGGGCAACGACATATATAGCTTATATTACTTAAAGCATAGCTTTGAAGCAGCTGAGAATTTTTCCAAAATGTTAATTAATAAATAAGATTTAACTTTTAAATAAATTATTATAGGTTTTGAAGACCTACGATTTATACTTTAACCTAAAATCCTTTAACCTAAAATCCTTTAACCTAAAATCCTTTAACCTAAAAACTATATAAATTTACTTATATAACACTAATATAAAATAAGATAGAATTAAAAGTGTCCTAATTTTTCTATCATATATCCCCTTTACCTTTTTGTTAAAAATTTTAGGTATTAAATTTAACATTAAATAGACGGATCAAACTATAATCATGCAATAATAGTAATAGTATTCCACCCCCGAGAGTAATAAAAGTACTATTACTATTATCACATGATTATTAATGAGATTAATACCCCTACCAACTTCATCAAAAAAATTTGGTAAAAATTTGTTTGTTTGTTCAGACCAGTTGCCTGGTCTAGGTTGTGAAATCGCTTTCGTTGTAGTGATGTTAAAAGTTGATGTTTATTTGTTTATTTTTTTTATAAGAAGTTTTAAACAAAAAATATTATTTATTTTTGTGTAAATTTTTTTTTTAAAAATAACTTAAATATTTTAATTCACAAACTCTAAATGTTTTTTTTAAAATAACTTAAATATTTTAATGATTTACAAGCTCTAAATGAATTTTTAAAAAGATTTACACAAAAATAAATAATATCTTTTGTTTAAAACTTCTTATAAAAAAAATAAACAAAGTAACATCAACTTTTAACATCACTACAACGAAAGTGATAGGCAAATAGTCTGAACAAACAAACAAATTTTTAACACCAAAATATTATTTCCCACACATGCCCCATATAGCTGAATCTCAACATCGTTTCTCTTTCTTTTCATTACTGCAGTTGTCGTATAATGAGAAAATAAAACGGGGGACAAAAATGTAAATTACAAGAGAGAGAAAAATTTTTTTAAAAAAAAATACTTATCGACACTGCCTATAAAAATTTACAGAAAAATAAACCAACACAAAATAAACATCTGGCAGACATTGCCGATATAAAAAATTTTTTTTTTACCAATACTTAATTCCTTTCCACTTGACACAATGTTAATCATCAGACTAAAGACATAACAAAAAAACTTTTCTATTCAAATATATTTGTACTCTCTTTTATGACCCTCTCTCAATCAGATCACTTATATTGGTATAGCTTGTCTAAATTGAACCCCGAAAATGAGAAAACACACCCATCCCTTCCCTTTATAAGCCAATATTATTACAGCCGGAATATAACCCGATTATATCAGTCAATACATCTATCCGTAGCTCCTAAACCTTATAAACGTAGTTCTTTTACTTTTATATCCTAATCTTGAGGTGATCATTATGCCTCACCACAAGAACCCCACTGTCCAAATTGACCTGATTTAATTTTGATCCCATATTCTGTATGATTCTTCCCTTTTCCCATTTCCTTTCCTTATTATCAAATAGCCTTGCCCAGATCTTCTGCCACAGAAAACTTTGCCCCTGCTTTTTCTCCCAATGAGGCAGTAACATTCCCTTTTGGTTTCAAGAAATCTAAGGGACCCCGTGTTTGTCTACCTAAAAATAACTCCACAGGCGTAACCCCCTATCGATTGTGATAATTAAGGTAATATAATTGAGACATGTACGCCTCATCCTTATGATTACCAGCCTTCCTAATCCAATCTTTAACAATCGCTATCATCCTCTCAGCTTGTCCATTCGAGCTGGGATGACACGGCGGCGCAAGCTGTTTAAACTCATCACTTACGAAGGCTGGGCCCCCATCAGACACTATTGTGTCCGGCAAACGAATCGGGCATATAATTCCCGTAATTTCATAACTATTTTAGTGGTATCATGAACCTCTGCATATTCTATCCACTTAGAATACGAATCTACCACAAGAAAGTATGACTTTTTATTAAGATCAAAAAAATTTATGTGGAGACGCTCCCATGGTTTCTTTGATCGGGGACACGTTTGACCACCTCTTTACGGGGCAGTGCACAGCTATTACAGAGAACATATTTCCTTGTGATCCTTTCAATATCGTTACCCATACCAGGCCACTATACATATTCCCGAGCCCAAGATTTCATCTTGTCCCGACCTTGATGTCCTGCATATAATAAAACCACAATTTTACTGCGTAATTTACATGGAATTACGGCCCTGTTTCCCCTCATAATACAATCATCAACAATTAACAATTCTTTTTGTATTTTTTAAAAGAATCATGTTTATTTTTCCAAGTTTTTTCTACCTTTAAACTCAATTTTACCCGACTTAAATCCTTGTTCTTCAAAGTATTTAATTTCAGATCCTCCCAATTGGTAGGACCCCCTTTTAATATATATGACAGAGTAAGCACTAAGGCCTCCTCTCTATCTATACTTATCTTATCAATTATTTCAGGATCTGCACAGCCAGAACCTAATCTAGACAAAATATCAGGCAAATGATTCTCTTTTCCTCTCCGATATTTAATTTCCACATTCCCACGAGTAACAACCAACGTTGTAATCTCGGAGATAACATTAATTCTTTGTTATCTTTTTTAAACAAATGAATCAATGTTTTATGATCAGTATAAATCACAACTTTTTTACCAATTAAATATTCACGATATTTGGTTAATCCAAAAATAACAGCCAAGGCCTCCTGTTCAATAACAGAATTCCAATCTTGAAAAAAATAAAATTGGTCTTTCCAAACCATCAAAAAAATATACTAAACTTCACTATAAAAATGAAACTTCAATAAAAAGAAAGACTGATATTTAATAATGATACCCTAAAACTTACTTTGAAATATACTCAAACTTACTTTAATAATATTGACACTTTAGAATTTCAATTTCAAATATTTTATTTAATGTTGAAATATATATACATAAAACGTCATATTATTATTAAAAAATTCTTGGAATAATTATGAAAATTTCTGGTTTTATTATTATTAGACTTTTTGATTTCATGTTTCAGAATTATGATATATATTTTTTTCCTTCAGAAAATTACATTTTTTTTGAATAATGTTTTTGTAAATACGATTTTTTTTGAGAATTTACATTTTTGAAACTATTAATTTTTGTGACTTTGTAAAAAAATATTTTTGATGTATTTATATTTCAACATTAAATAAAATATTTGAAATTTAAAGTCTAAAGTGTCAATATTTAAAGTAAGTTTGATAAGTATTTTTCAAAGTAATTTTTCGGGTTTCATTATTAAATATCAGTCTTTCTTTTTATTGAAGTTCCATTTTTTTTAATGAAGTTTAGTTTTTTTTTGTTAAGTATGTGTTCATAACCCTAAATATTTTGAGGTTCAAGAGTCCAAAAAGAGTATTGAATTGGGTTCGGTAGAACCCTAGATTTTTATACCTAAAATTGATTTATTTATTTTATATTTTTTGAAAAAATTAATGGTTATGTTAAATAAATTTGAACATATCACAATTTTAAATGGGAAGTTTGAATGAATAAATTTCTCAATTCACAATTAACAACTGATATTATTTAACTATATGAATATAAAATGGATTTTAAAGCCTTTGCATTTATCTTATAATTCTCAATTTAACGTTTCTTATACGATAATATTTAACATTTTCCTAGGAGCATTTCTTCTCATTCTGGAATATTGCATTTAACTGATTCGTCTTAAGCTGTTTTAACTTAATTATATTAGTCCATTTCCAGATGGAACGTTTTTTCAAAGGATTTTTTAGGCATGTTTTCAGTAAATTTTTTATTTATTGCCAAACAAATAATAAGATTAATATTTTTTCATAATATAAACTTGCCATTATTTAAACGTTAATAAAATTCGTTTGTTTTTCATTAACGATTAAATGGCGTCTATGAGTTTAAGATAAAAAAATTTTTAAATATTTTATTTGCAAAAAATAATTCGACAAATTATTATTCTCTATTTAGAAATTAATAAAAAATTAGCTGGAAACATACCTAGACAATCTCTTTGAAAAAACATGCCATCTATAAATGGCCCTACACTAATTAATTAATATACTCATTGCTAAAAGCTGTAGTTGATTATTGGCTGTAAATTGAATCTTTTACTCTATCTACGGCGAGGGCTGAAAAAAAAATCAACGACACATTGATGCCTAAGTAAAAAAATTCTGCTTTTTTTAAAGTTCCACTATGAAAAATGAACTCTCATTTGTAGATGATTTGGTAGATGGGACTTCTCTTCTATTCATTAACAAATTTTTAACATTTGTCAGGTTTAAATGTTCAAAGATTTTTAACATCTCAATAGGAATCTCTGGATGAGAAGGCGAATTAGGTATATATTATACATATGATAATACGACTTTTATAACTGATTTTTGTTCTCAGATCTTGATATAATAAGAACATTAAATTATATTAATATGGTCATCAAATATTATGTTGTTAATGTATCTATAAAAAAGAATAATATGATTATTTTTATCACACACTTTTAGGGTTAAGGAATTATTTAAGATGATCATAGGCTATTAAATAGTAACTTATAATTTATTAACCAGTATTTTAGAAGAATATATTATATGTAAAATCTTATTCATAAAAATTCTAAAATATTATTTAGCATCGTAAGCATAAATTATGATTTGATTTATAGCTTTAAGATAAGAGCACAAGAACAATCCTAAATCAATGTATAATAAAGAAGAAAGCTTTAAAAAATAAAATAATAACATTATAAAATATTTTCTGACTAATTTAATAATAATTAAAAAATAATGAAGGTAATTCAATCTATAATTTGTAATAAGTGACTTTCCAAAGTTTTTAAATGCCTAAGACCCTTTCCCCCTCACTCAACGACCCATACTAGATTATAATATTTGTTTAATCCGTTAAATCTTGTAGATATTGAGATTTTTGGCAAAAATATTTACACAGGAAAGATCCCATGTCAAGATTTTTTTTTTCATTATCCTACCCAGTTATTTAAGCAACAACGGGCCTTTTAGGGTTGAAAAGGGAAAGGTCGGAGGAGGTTTAGACTATACTGGCACCCAGCTGAATGGACGTTGGGCCTTATATGGGCACCAGCGTTTGTGTTGGACCATGACGACCTAAATTATCAATTATCTCCCAGCTATTGAATTATGAGCTGAAACCATAACATAACTAAACGCAGGATTTCGATGTCTCTAATGGGAATTGCAGGAAATGGTATCTAGTTTCATCATTTTTGTAAGTTTGAGAAGCTTTTAGTAGTAGAACATCAGATGATTGGCGAACCAGGTCAAGAGGCTTTTTGCTTAAAGACAGAACAGAATAATATTTGGACAGGAAAGGGGAAACGGCATGTTAAGACTGTTTCCCGGCTAATGAGCAATCTTGTAATTAATTAATGATATCAGGATGCCATAGGCGTAAAAGGATATTATAGATTTTTTTTTTCTATAAGAGCTCCGTAAATTATTAAAGCGTCTTTAATATTGTCCTCTTCAAAAACTTTTGTTTTCATGGAAAACCAATTTAGTTAATATACTTTTCTTATAATTAATTATTCAATCTCACTGAGAAATTATGTGACTGAGACCATTTCTTTAATATGACCAAGAAAGAGAACAAGTTTTTTTAAAAATATCAATATAAATAAATGCACTTTGTACATTTACTATTATTTTGACTATCAAATCCTTTTGAAATATATTTTTATTTTTAAATAAAAATAGGAGGTATTGTTTCGTTAAATAACGGGAGTTTGAAAAAATTAAAATTTTCAGACATTCTGTTACAGGATAAACTCAAAGTTATATGCATCGACTCTAAAGTTAACAGGAGTACAAAAGACCAAATCAAAATTGTCAGCCAATTGAAATCCAAAGTAATAATTGTCAGAAAATAATTATAATTTTTTTTTGGTTAAGTTGGTAGATAATATAAAATATGACTTTGCATTTGATCTATTTTTTTTAAACACCTATTCTAACCTAGGTATAATTCGAACCGATTGAACTATTCTAACCAAAAATTCAACTTTTAGTTTGTGATTTCTTAAGGATTTATTTTATTCTTATATTTTGCAAAAGAATCAATCAAAAGATAATAAACTTGCATCACGTGTTAAAGTTACTTTTCAAAAGTAACATGTTTCATTAAAGTTAATCTTGTCCAAAACGTAACAAGTTAATAGCATAGTTAGTTGCCTTAGTTTAATTTAACTAGGATGATGTTAGTTATATGATTTACTTAACACTAGAGCCCTTTATGTGCCGATCTGAATCTAATTTGACTGAATTCGGACAGGCATTTTCTAGGACTCAGTCATCTATTCAATACATTTTTAAAAAGCAGCTTTGAGAAAAAGAAAAGTTATATTATTTATTGTATATATATATCAGAGACCTGCAGAGGCACCATTTGCACGGCCCGGTCCTGATTTTTCTAATTTTCGACGCAACCCGTTTTAGGCCTGGTCCAGATTTTTTTGAAATATATATTTTTATTTCTAATTTTTATAGGTAACAATGGCGATTTAAAATAGTTGGTTTTAAAATGCCCGGTCCGGGTATTTTTTTTTAAAAAAAATTTTCTAGACCTGGTCCGGGTATAATTTGTAAAATTAATATACGACCGACCCGGTCCGTGTACCCAGGCTTAAATATAGTTTTTTTTTAAAAATCGTCTAGGAGATTTTATTTACAGTATATAAACCGAATATATTCGTATTCACTGTTATCTTAAAATTTGATAGGTAATTTATTTACAAAATGATAAATTTAAATCTAAAATGAAAATGTTTTTTTAAATTATATTATACCTAGACCTGTGCGCCGCTGACAATTTTTATTCACGCCGGAAACCCGCCGATTGAGATGAGCGGCCTGGCCTGGCTCGCCGCTGTTTTCTTTTATGGCAGCGGCCAGGCTTGCATAATTTTTAGAATGCCATTTATTTATAATATATTCAATTATTTTAATTTGAATATTGACAATAATAAAATTAAAATATGAATTGTATTTTATTAGTATATAATAAAATATTGTGTATATCATTTACATTCATTACATTAATACATCGTAATTTTTTTTATGGACTTACAGGTTTTAAACCATTATAGTTATTTATTGCCAGCTCTAATTGGTGTTTTTTTGAGAATCTTTATAGTGTATAAACTTAATATATAACTGATTTATTAAATTAATTGTATAAAACTTTATCAGTTCAAAAATTTATTTTATTTCAGCTCTAACTATTATGATATTTTTTAATTATCTTATTAATGTATAAAATAAATATAAAATCTTATAGGGCCAAAGGATGCTTAGATTTAATTCCATTTTATTTCTAAACAATAAAGGAATAACTGATTTTTTAAAATAAAAATAAAATGATTATTAAACTAAAAAAAATAGAAATATGATATTTGATTCCTTGTCAGAATTGCCTGATAGGACAACCATTAATCGGGGTGCACTAGATTATGTTTATCCATCTATAAAGGTACACACTTTGATATCTCTGGTGAGGCTGGTAATTTTAATTGCATTGCACCAATAGATCTAATACGAAAAGTTTAAAAATAACATTGCCCTACCTGCTGGCACAGCATATTAATTATGCTAGTATAAATATTGTGCTATATAAAATAGGGAAACAATTTTTAAAACTTTTTAATAATGAATGGATATAATAATGAACTTTACACATTATTAATTCAGAGAGTCTTTGGAATTCTTCCCTTCAAAAATGGATCAACAATAAATTTAGGATTTATTTCGCAGTTGAAATAGAAACACATCAAATCAATAAATCTGATTGCTCAGATATCATTTGCCTAAAAGAAAATTTGCAAAAAGCTTGACCATAGGTTTCCAAATACCGGTAATTTATTTTATTATTAAATTATATTTTAAACATTAGTAATTAGCGACACTACTTGATCCGAGATTTCAAAATCTTATAAAATTGTTTTAGAATATATAAATTCTAATTCTACGACATCATTATAATTTTTAATTAGACATTTAAAACTTTTAGAAAATGATAGAAATGCACAGAGTGCGATTCAAGTTGAAGATAATGGGTAAACATCCAGTTTATATATAGCTAAAATAGCTGGTAAACATTCCCTCCAGAGCAAGAATATCATATCCTGCTCAGCCAACATATTATACCCGAAGAGGATGCACTATTTGGAAAAAAAACGACTGGAACTTCCTAGGCTTGCTAATTTAGCCAGGAAGGTTTTTGTATACCTGCAACCAGTACACCTAGGTGAATAATTTTTTCCATGGCTGGATTACTCAATGCAAAAACACGTATCTTGATAAAATACTATTTATCCATGACAATTAATACTTTTACTAAATCTGATTTCTAATTTATAATATTTCTTTCTTTATAATTCTGCTTGCATTTCTAATTTATATTTTAATTTGTTTTAATAAAAATCAATAAAATATTACTAATATGTGTTGTTTATGCCACTCTGATCTGAGTATAAATGCAACTCCTTCTATTTCTGAGAATTATAAATACTTAAATTTAATAGGAGTGAGACATAAAATAATTTAAGAAATGAATGAAACTATATTAACAAAGAACTATGAGCGTCCATATAAATTTTAAAAAAATGTAATACATTAAATTATATATTAAATTCATTAAAAAAAATTTAAATAAATAGCTCGCCGCGGCCACCGCTAATTTATTAGGCGGCAGCGAAACCATTAATTTAGGCTTCGGCTTACAGGTCTAATTATACAATAAATGCAATGCTACTTATAAAATTTTATTTTACAATATTGCGGTCACAAAATTTTGATTTTCAGGATTGGGCTGAAAAGAATTAAAATATGACTTATTAAATTTTAATTTTAAAAAAATTAACTCACATTTATAAAAAAAAGAATACTTTTTATTCAAGATACTAATGAAATTAAAATTTTAAATTAACTGGTTATATTCCCATTTTATCACTTATTCTAAATTAAAAAAAAAATTTCTCTATAAAGTTTCCTTTGGTGGTAGAACCGTTGTTGGATGCCATCGAACAAATTGGAAAGGAATTTATTAATACGCTATCGTTAATTGATGCTGAAGATGACATTGAAAATCGCCAATTACTTGAGATTCCGACGTCTAACTTTGATTTTGACAACTTATCGGTAAGTGCGCCTCTTATATAATTAAATAATTTGGCTTATTGAATTATTTTGTTAAATTTAATAGAAGTTAAACTAGGCCTCTAGAAAATAGTATATCCAAATATTAGTAAAAAATATTTGATTTTTTTAAAATCAAATTCATTTTTCTGATTTTTTTTGTAGAGTAATAAAAAAATTCAAACATTTCTTACATAATCTACGTTAGATGCAATTTTAATAGATATAATTTATTTTTAATTAAATTTGTGAAAGAAAGTCATTTTTTCAGTCAAAGATTTTATAATAATTGTTTCTTATTTTAGATACATACAATTTTCGGTAATCATATTTGCGTCTATAAAATAAACGCTCACGAGATATAGAAGATCCCAATTCTCCTTTTCTGATTGCATAATACCACCATTTATAAATTTTGTTTGAATTTAGTTTTGAGATATTTTTAACAAGAAATCAATAGCACAATCAAAAAAATTTCTATTGTAAAATGGCAGAAAAGATAAAATATTTGATAAGTGGCTTTAATTTTTTTAGAAATTAAAATTACAAATAATTTTAAAATTACAAATATTAATCGGATACTTACTAAAATTTACCATTGCGATTTTCAAAAATTTGCAAATACAATTCAAAATTATTATTGGTCCAAGAACCTTTCTTCTTCTATTCGTATTCGATTTGAATTTTTCGAATCGAATAATTTGTTATTCTTATTTATAAATTTTGAATCAAATATGGGATTATTTTTGTTAGACCTAAGATATACTTTCTATCTTTATATTGAATGTTGAATAAACGTTGTTAACAAGGCATTTAAACAAGATTGAGGCCGATTCCATAAATTATAAAACAAAATACTCGGTGAGACAAAAAATAGATATATATTTTTGTTACATTTTTTAAGTAATAGGAAGAAGCTTAAAATATAAATGACGAAAGTATCGCCAATATCGTCTATACTAATAATTTTAAAATAGATATGATGAACTTAGAGAACGATATTTTATATTTTTTACCATTTAATTAATTAGTTTTGTTTTATATTTAACTACTTCCATAAGAGTTTGATGAACGTAAACCACGATATATTGAATGCCTTGGGAGTTGGGCATCCAGAATTGGAGAAAATACGGGATCTTGTTATCAATTTTAGTTCGAATTATGTTTTTAACAATCAGAAACTTAGTAGATATATTCTAAAACCAAAAATGACAGGTGCAGGTGGAGGGGGATACGTTATAGCTTTATTACCTATCTTAACTGATGGTAACACTTCTTTTTCTTTATCACATTTTTTTTAGATCGTAGTGACAAAAATTTGTATAAGGAGGCAAACCCTAATAATTAATTTGAAATCATATTTATTTTAGATAGAAAAACGTAAAAATGTCATTATAAAAATTAAATATTTAGAAATATTCCCGACATTTTACATCTCAGTTTTAAAAAAAATCGGTTAAATATTTTTTAAACTTTTGTTTAACTTATGTTATGCATTTATAAGAGCCTAGGAAAGCTTCGGAGATATAGAATTTATAAGCGTAGCTAGGATTTTCATAGAATATATGGGGGTTCCGCGTCCTATGACTTTTTTTGGCCGGCTGTTACCTTTTTCTTTTAAAATAGGTTGGAGGCGAATGATTTTATATTAATACAAAAGGTAGAAGGGTCTCCTCATAGAAATTTTATAGGGATAATATTTGTTTTAATAATCATTTTATTGATTTTCTATAATGATTCCCAGAAATTCTTTCTTTCAATTAAAGGGCAATAATTTTATAAAAATATATTTGAATGAATTATACTTATTTCTCAAAGGATCTTATTTTGCTTATAATTCGGTTTATGTTCTGTGAAACAAAGATTACAAACTTGATTTTTGATATGAAAATTATATTTAGATTTTCCGAATAATAATTTATTTAGGGGTTTTACTGAATTTTTTCCCGGGCCTAAAATCTTCGTATATTTTATCACTCTATTTTGATAGATTATCATCCAACTTAAATATTTAAAAATATAATTTTTTTTAATAAAACAGCCACTGAAGACTTAGAATATGAGGGGATGCTACTTGAATTACAGAAAGAATTGAAAAATTTGGGTTATGAATCTTTTATCACTGGGATATGTGGAACTGGTGTTAAATCGTATATAGACGAAGAATAATTTTTTTTTACTATTATGTAATTTATAAAAATTCTCAAATCATGTGTTTTTAATTTTATCATCTTTTTAAATATTTTTGTTATATTAAATAAATGGTTGCATCCAAAACGTGTTTCAAAAAATAACTACGCTAATGGTGAAGTTTTGAAAATTTCACAAATACATTTTGGCAACAGTTTTATTTTTTTTTATTAAAAAAGGCTTGTTTCGATAAAATTTTTGATTTTGGATAGTGCTTAAAGTCATTTTTATCAGGGTGTGTAATACTATAATTTAATTATTACAAAAGGATTGTTAACATTTTATAATTTGATATGAGTAGATTATCAAAATAATTCACAAAATAAATTATAAATTTAAAACATAAAAATTATTTTCAAAAATATATTAACGAATTCTAACCATTAATTTATAATCAACCTTAAAAAATGTCCTCAGAATTAAGTTATAAAATTTTCTATATTGGCAATCATATTATACAAAAATAATATTCATGACATGGACTCTTGTTTTAAACAAATTTTTTTCTTAATGTAAGGAAGGTCTCGAAATCATCATTTTATCTTCCAAGTCTTCGAATCTAGCATTAGGATATCTCTGTTTTAAGCCATCTTTCAATAAAAATGTGTGTTCCCAATCCTTGGTTTCTACTACGCATTTTACGTCCACACTAAATATATCGTTCTTCACCCATGCTCTTTCGTGAAAAATGTCTTTGAGGCTATTTATAGATTTGTATTTTTTAAATTGGATAAATGAAAAGAATCTTCTTATCTTAGTCTCATTATATTATTATGACAATTCTTATTTAAGTCGCCATATAATATTTAAGGACTTTAATTTAATGCCACTGAGTAATTTACTAAATTAGAAATGATCAGAAATTTCAATTAATAAATAAATCTAGTGACTTATATATCAAAATATATATTACCTGACTCCCACAGTAAATAGGTAATTGGTAAGTTGTGCTATTCCACCGGGCCTGTCCAAAAGGGTTACCTTAAACCTTACCAAACGTCCATCAGCCGCCAAACCCCTATCCATGCATCTACCCAAAATAGATGTGTCTATATTTCCGCCACACAGCAAGATGACAACTCTATATTCAATACATATATACATTAGTGTTTCTATTTTGCAAAAAGTAACTGTAACTAGTTATTTAAAAAATATGCAACTTGTAAATATTTGTTAATCAATTTAACAAAACTACATAGTATACATACATCAGTTTTGTATAATTATTAATTTGTAATTTAATCTTGTCCATAAAGAGATTTTAAACCTTTTTCCGATCAATTCTGGTACTAAGTTAGCTAGAACAGCAGCGAATCCGCAGGCTCCAGCTCCTTCCACCACTGCTTTTTCCATCTCTAACAATCGCAAAATTGCTAACGCAATGTGTTCTTCACTAATGAACAAAAGAGTATTAATAAATAATTTTTTTTTCGAGTCAAATTTTTAATTATTCTTTTAAATAGTGTAGAAAATTATTTAAATCATTCTCAAAACGTCTATAAGAAGAACTTTGAAGTAATCACTTTAATTTTATTAATTAAATATTAATAATATAAAGACATACTTAACGGTTACAACTTTATCTATTATATTTTTTGCCGTTTCAAAAGCGTTCACTCCTACAACTGGTACAGCTAATCCTTATATTTTTTTCATATAAAACAAATGAATGAATGAAAGTTTTTTGAGGATAAAAATGGAAATACCATTATTTCTTCTGAGTTTTATAAGCCATTAAATAGGAAAATAAAAAGATATTATTTTTCAATCGTATTGTCATTTCCCTAAACCTAACATTTTGATATTTGTAAAAATGCTACAATTTTTTTAATAGTATATTTGTAATCCTATATATATAACTTAATTTATACCATCTGCCAAAGATGAATACGAAGGAGTGTGAGTGGGTTTTCCAGCTTTTAACGCATTAGTAAAACTGGGACATCTAACTGCTTCAGCACCCTTTTTATAAAAAAATCTCATTATATTATATAGAGCCCAATAATTAACACCCTAACCAACAATTTATGAAATTTTCTTTTTTTATAAATAATTTAGCTTTTAAATTATCAAAATATCGATATTAGGTGATTTATGCTGCATGTTGAAATTTGGGTCGATTCCTCAACTAATTATGAATTACTATTCATTTTTTTTATAGAACAGAGACTTGGGGATATTAAATTTTTAAACCCGGCATGGATTTTAAAATAATATTCACTTTCAAACTCAACCTGGATTTCAAAAATATCATTGTTTCGACCAGATTTTTGTAACCCGTCCCATGGTAAATCTATTAAGCGATTTTTACAACTGCTTAATTGATAGATTTAAATTTATTTTAAATATTTTGGCCTGGCTAGGGCTTAACTTGGCTAAGATTTTTATTATCCGCGTCGTGTTTACAGGTCTTTGCGATATAGTGAGCTATATCTATAAAAGTTATTGTACCTTATGTAGACTTAACATAATTTTTTTTCTAATAATAAAATTATGCTTCATGATATAATTTGTTACTCACAATAATCATAGCATTTGGCCTCAATTGTTTGATAGCTACTGCAACCCCGGCTATCAAACCCCCACCCCCCACTGGAATGATTATCGCGTCGAATTGACCCATTTGCTCGCAAATTTCGATCCCCGTGGTTCCTTGCCCCGCTATTATATCACGATGATCATATCTGTGATATAATAATTAAAATATCAATTTATTTAGGCACATACTAAGCAGAGCATAACTGAAGAAATTTTTTAGAACTAAATTTTTATTTTAAAAGAAAATAAAACAATCGGTATAATTAAATTAAACGGCTAAAACAAGCATTTTCATTAATATATTATTTTTATACAAATATAAAATAAGAAGTTAATGATGACTAAGAGATTTGTAATTTCAGTCTACATTTAATATTTATGGAACTAGACGACCTAATAATTACTTGGTTTTTGATTTAAAAAAAACCCAGTTTCAAATTAGTATTTTATTACCAGGAAATATAAAGTTATAATTTTTCTTAAAAAAAATATATATACCCGTTAATGTAAACCAGGTTACGAATTTTTGCTAAATACATGGCGTATTGTTTGGACTCGGTCAAATCATTACCCCTGACAATAACCTGTGCATTGAATTGCTTGCAAGAATTTATTTTCATAATGGGCGCGTATTTTGGCATAACCACTGTCACGGGTATATTGTTCAATTGTCCGTGATACGCCAAGGCTAAGGCGTGGTTGCCGGCAGAGGCAGCTATCACGCCCTCAAAATCAATGGGGTATTTTGGGTTAATTATATCTTGAGAATTTATGTGTTTTTCCCTATTGGCTAATAGTTTGAGAAGTGCATGACTAGCACCTCGTTCCTTGAAGCTTTTCGATATATTTTTTGTGTATTAACAAAGTTTAATATCTTATAGTAAAAATATAAAACTTTGAATAAAACATATATAAAACATTTAAAAATAAGAAATATAAATTAAAAATGGAGAAATATAAAAAATTAATGAGGAAATATATTAGAATGATAAAAACTACTTGATATTTTCAATCTAGACTCTTTGTTTTAAATGATAAAACTTAGGAAAATTTCCTATTAACAGCTTAATTTTTAAGACTATAGAACGAAGAATCAGATCCTACAAACCAAAGTGGTCAAAAGTGCTAGCCTTAATTAGAATAAAAAGAATATGAAGTGGATCGAAATATTTGTTGATTTATTGATCTCTCTTTGAAGGAGAGGGTCGTCATTGATATTTCGGGTAAAGATATTTCACGGAAAAAATGCCAATTAAGATTTTCCCAATTTCCCCTCTACTTAGAGTAGCAGCGTCGAGCCTTTTTTGATAGATGATTGAAAGTTTGAGGGTACTTTGAGAATGATAATTTTTCTGCCCAAGAATTTTAAGCAAAAATATTTAATGATTTTTTAAAAATCAAGATTTTATTGTTCAAAATTCAGAATTTTTGTGATTTTTATGTGTTTTATATCTTCCATGAAAAATCTAGATCTTTGAAGATTTTTGATTTTGAGCGAATGTTATAGCATCGATGACAAGAAAGCTTTTGGTCAAATAATTTATAAAAAAATGTGAACTTTTTTAAGAGAAAGAGAGAACAATGAAAAACAATTATTATTTTAATTGACTCATTACATTATTAATGACTTTACCACAACCGGTATCTATAAAAGACAAAATAACGCTAATCTTAAAAAAATATGTCATTAATTAAATATTCATTTTTTTGGATATTTAAATTAAGAGATGGCTTACCTTCCTGTGTATTGTAAGTAGTCCTTTTTAAACCAGATTTCCATATTGCACATTGAAGAAAGCCTTGATTTCTATATATTCATTAATTTATTAAATAATCATATATGTATTGTAGGATTTTTATTATGGAAAAATTTTATCATAATTAGTGAAGGGAACTTGAGAAAAATTATAGAACGAACAAAGTATGCCCAGAATGTTCCGAATAATTAAAGAACTATAATTTATTGCATCATTTTACATAATTATAAGAAACCTGCAGAGAAACAAATTTGTGGCCCAAGTCGAATTTAACAAAAAAAAATCTTCAAATTCGGAGACCGGATTCTTTTATGGAAACTTTTTTGATAGGGATTTTTATTTTTACTTATTTTTTGGCCCTACTCCTTATTCAAAATTTTGTTATGAATAATTTTGGTGATTTTTGTAAATTGTTTGAAATGGAAATCAATATGGGTGGCAAATGAATTATAAAGGCTTCATTATATCATTTTCATGGTTTCCTTATTAAAACAGTAAAAAATTTTATTCTACATTTTCCTTGTACACTGATTGATTTTGAATAATAATTTATAAAATTTAAATATAATTTTTTTTAAAAATTTTTTAAATCAGCTCGGCACGAGTTTTATATAAAATTTTTATTAGCCCTGCTTGTAAACCCACTCCCGGCCTGCAAGTTTTTGATGATTATTAATATGATAATATTTATAATTGCTCATAAATATTTGTTTTCTTTTTTTTACTTCCAGTCAATAAGAATCACTAAACCCATTTAGTAATATGCGATTAAGCAGTGGCGTGATCATTTCTCTGCACCACTCCCAAGAAGGAAAGATTTTTAGGGACAGATATAATAAATCAAATGCTACACAGTTTATCTAAACATATAGTTCCATTATAACAAATTAAAAAGTATTGCAGAATGAAACTTATTGCAGTTATTGGATACAAATTAAATAACGATGTGGTAATGCTATTGAGTTTATTTTTCTAAGAATTATATCCAAAACAATTAAAATCCAAACTTACAAACATTTTACTACCTCTCAATCAGGCTTTTTCTTCCAACAGGGTGTGAGGCTGCATCACATAGTAAACTTCATCTGCTTTACCGACATTTCTTTTTTAAAAAATTAAGGCATTCATTCTACTCTCTCGAGGGAGAGATCTTCATTCTTTCCTTTTATAATACATTTCACGAATATTCCACTCATATATCTGACTACCATGGCCAACTGTCCTTTTTAAAGTTCCATGAAACAACCATAAAATCTCACCAAGGAATACAAGAAGGGGACCTTCTGGACCCACTTATCTCCTGTGAGGCCATTCGCAGCAATCAAAATCAACAATAAGTGCAATGCCCTTTCAAACATATGAAACTTAGATGACGAGACAGTCTCAGGTATGATAAATTAATCGAAATCCTGTTTATTATTTCTGATCTCACAATCATCGGTCTTGCACTTAACTATAAAAAATATAAAGCTGATATGCCTAAAAATAACAACTCATAGTCAACCCGAAAACTTTCAATAGTACAAATTAGTTTCACCCATCACTCTCCTTCCCGGAGTAACGAAATCACACTGTCTGGGATTATATACACAATGATTTCGCCTTTCTTTAACTTTAGTTCTATGGTTAGGGAGGAAATTAATAAATATAGTAACATGCCTTATATCTAATTCCCAGTTTTTGAGACAATCCTATATTTCGATCTAGAGCCTGGAATATTTTCATAACAGCCAAAAATTAAGCTTACTTTCAGGTGACCCTTGTAAAGATTTTTATGTCCGACAACGGATATCAATTGAGATATGTAAGTCACACTATATATCAATCCACTGGGCCATCAGCTAAAGACACCCTCTTCTATTTTGATATATGTTTTCAAGTATTTTTAATATTTTTAAATAGATCTTTATTTATATTTTTTTATATTATGTTACTTTATAAATAGTATAAATGCTGGTTGTTTTAAAATAAATAAAATTATCTATTCTAGTATACTATATTCATATATTTTTCCTCTGGTATTTCGAAGTTGCTATGAGATCATTGACTATTATACCTTTTTCAAGAGTTTAATTCTATTTAATTACAATAATTTTTAAATGGCAACTTTAAAAAACTACCGTCTTTAGTTACGGTCCAATCTTTACTTTCAGGTGATATTATAAACACGGAGTTGTGTACTAGTCTAATGTTTTTTCTCAATCAATAAAACTTTTCCAAATCTTGTATTGTTTCCGATTTTTTGATTTACTTACAAAACAGCAGAGTTTTTAAAAGATAATTTTCAAAATCTAGATATAGATACGTCTAAAAATAAATCTAGATACAGATACAGCATCAACGTATATAGACACAAATGCATCATTATAAATGTATACTGATACCGATACATCTTTATAATTTACTTATCATAATACTTAATAGCATTTTATTGTTTAATTTCGAATTGAGCTAAAAATATATTGAGCTTGATATCACATCTATAAAATAAATATGTATTTAAAATAATGATTATTTGATTTTAATAATTCATACAAAATTTTTATCATTAAGGCACCCCTATTTGTCTGTAAATTTTTAGACACACTAATCTCTTTCTACCTGAGCACTTGACGACAGAGTGATCGTTATATTGAATGCATAAACAAATTTATATTGGTATAATCTAAATTTATTAAAATCTCGGCACTCATTTTTAAAAAAATTATTCAAATTTTATGAGTGCCAAAATTTCAATATTTATATAATCTAAGAGGCTCTCCAAAAAATTGAATATTTAATTATTTGATTTCTTTTCAGAGATTGTCTAGAAATATATATTTAAAAAAAAAATTATGATAAATATTTTTTCAAATTAATGTAAATAAAATAAATTACAATATAAAATTTACCATGTTGTCGTCATTCATTGCGTAAAATAAAATTTGCTGGTGAACTCACATATTATTAAAATTTAATACATTTTTAGTTTTAATATAAAAAAATATAATATCAAATAATATCAAAATGTTTCTAAAAGTATCTAAAATAGATAGAGATATGATATCTCTAAAAGAGTATCGATACCGATACTTTTATAAATATCTATCTAGACACAGATGCCACATGCTTGTATCTAGATACTTTAACAACCTTACAAAATTGTGGGGTACAAATAAGTTCATTTGGTGTGTCCTCTCCTTGTATAATTTTTTCTTACAATAAAAAAATTAAAACATTAACAATATTTACTTCTTAATCGTCATCAATCTAATTACAAGTAATATTGTTATAGGCAAATATAAATCTTGATAAAATTCATCAAAAACTCCCTAGTCCACTTTGGCCAAATATTTATCTCTAATTTTGTATGTCGAAAAATTATTTTAAACTTCTTAATTACAGATTAAAAGTATAAGATTGATATTCCGCAGTCATATTTTATAATACCAACATTAAATTCAATTGATAATTTTGTTACTAAGTTAGTGTTGTAGTAAGTAACTAAAAGTCGACACTTAAGCCTATAAAAATAAGTCGGGACGGACTCATCCCCCCCCCCCTATAACACCATCTCTCCTAAAATTTATACAATATTACTGTAAAAATTTGGAAAAAATTAGTGTAAAATTCTAAAAAAAACCGATTTTATTTATATAAAATGTCTCATTCACATGTCATTTAAACGGAAATCCCCGCATAACAAGCATATATTAATTCGGCACGAGCTACTATCAAGTGAACTTATTAATAAAAGAGATTGTAAGTTCCGAAACGTGGAGAACATTTTTTTGTTCTTAACTAAAAAACAAAACTGCCTTTGTTCTGGATCCATTGTCATATGACCAAAATTTTTTTATCAACAAAAATAAATATACCTTGCAAGGCGTTTTATCTATGGACTCTTGTATTATAGATCTGGCTGAGAGAACTTCATCAAATTTGACTTCGATCGGGTTTTCGGGATCACAGTTTGGATCGAATAATTTGTGAGTAGAATCAATTATATCCGGGAATGAAGATTCCGTTCTCAATTCATCGATCATACTTGACACAGTAGTGCAAGAAAGAGTTGGAGATACAGGAATTTGGTAATCCTGATATTTTCCGTTGTGCGTACTAGATATTGAAATTGGGATGTGTTCTAGTGATTCTATGGAAGATTTACCTATCAAAAATAAACGCAATGCATATTAAAGTTGAGTTTTATAATAACATTAGATTTGTTTCTAATAAGTAGATAACATAGTTACTATTATTTTATAGTTAAGGATACTTAGCTTTTCAAGTGTCTCAGCATGCCAAAAATATATATAATGAAGTTAATAGTTCTTTTATACCTAAATCAATAAATATGACTTTTTAAAAAGCTTTGAAAACTGGCGTTTTAAAATTTTTTAAAATAATTTTACTTGTTCCCAATTTAACATTTTGAATGTTGAGGGTATTTTGAGATGAGTTAGAACTTTTTTCATTTTTATTGTTAGGTTCATAATCCTCGTCCGAAGCGAATTTCGCGTGTATACTATTAGCAGATATTGAAGACATCAGTTAAAATATTTTTTCTAAAATTCCTTAAAAATAACGTTATATTTTAAAATCATCAGACAATAAAAATTTAATCGTCGTGTTACATCATATAGGAAGTATAATATTACGAGGAACTAATGATATGCGTTTTTTTAAACTGATATTGTTTTATTTGCAAGCAATTAACCTTATAAATTATTTATTTATTTTCTCTCGTTTCATTTCGTTTTAAAACATGACAATTTTTAAACTTTCTATTTTGTTTATCGTAAGATATTAATCAATACACATAGTATATTAATACATTATTAATAATAATCAATCAAAACACATCATGTTATAAATTTTGTAAGTTAGTATGAAATAGTTATGCGATTTGTCAACCAAAATTCTATAAAAATCCATCCTTTAATTTATTTACAAATTTTTTCTAAAAATATTTTTTTATATAAATAATATTGTTAATTTTAATTACAAAATTATTCATTTATTTATTAATCAAGGTCAATTTTATTTTTATAATTATAGCGTATAAATTTAGAGTATTCGAACCGTATTTTCGAATATAAATAACAGGGATGTGAACCCTTCGACATAAAAAAAAGTCCAGGTCCGGGTTCGGGTACAGGAATAAAATTTGAAAGGATCCGGGTCCAGGGGTCGGGTTCAGGGAACATAAAAATAATGACTCAAAATAAAAAAAATCTTTATTCATTTATTATTATACTTCAATATTATACATATTCATAATTTACAAATGAAAAATTTAAAAATGAAAAAATTTATATTTAAAATGATTCTCGCAAATCATAATATCTTTTAAAACATCATCCTTGAGATTTCCACTAAAGTAGACAATATATATTTCAAAGATGAAAATTCACGTTCTACCCTTACCTAAAATAGATAGTTATCTTTATAAAATTATTGTACTTGTATCGCCGGTACAGCCATGAAGATTCTAGATAAGATATATAATTCTGGATATATTGAAGAATTTTCTTCCCAGAATTTTAAAATATTTATATCCTTATTTATTCTCTTAACTTCTGAGTACTTTACTATTAAAGATGCAATAGACATTTTTTTGATCCCCCTTTCTATCTGATGATAATTTGATTTTTTTTCTCTATCTAAAAGTAAAATTTCAAGATCATCAATGTTGCTATCATTATTATTATCACTACAACGAATAGGTATTGTCGTAGCCTCCAATATATTGTAAATAATGGAGTTTTGCTCATGCCATAAATCCTTAAGATGGTCTCTAGCCATTTGTTTTTGCTCAATACTCAATAAAACTTGATATCGAGTGTCTAAATATATAGAAGCGTATACAAAACAAGCAAATATTGTTGCTCTCGAATTTTCATGTTTTCTAATATTTCGTATAAAAGGGGTAAATTTTTCTAAATCTAATCGACATCTAATCCATATGCCTTAAAATCAAATAAACATAATTGTTCTGATTGTAATCTTAATATTGTTATTTTTAAAGGAACTTAGTAAGGTCCTTTATTTGGCACCAATCATCCTCCGACAAAATGACTTCACATGCTCTTATATTAAATCATTACAGAAATCTTTCAAACTTAATAATCGTTCTAGCTTTATACAAATTGAAGACCAACGTGTTGTGCATTATCATTTAAATTAAAATATTATTTCTTGTACTACAAAATAATTCGCTTTCAAAATAATCAACGTATTTCTATAACAAGCATATTAATAAATTTACATAATAAAATATTATCACACTGGAAAATAATTTATGATATCGATCTCTAAATATAATGGAAGTCCAGGAAGAAAATTGTAAGAAAAACGCGAAGATAGAATAAATGCTTCCACAAAAAAAGTTAATAAAATTTAAAAAAATTTATATTATTTTTTAAAAAAATATTTTATTTTTAAATTTCTATGACACCTAGAACCCTTGGAAAAAGATATATTTAAGAATAATTTTATTAAAAATAAAACCACTTTTAAAAAGAGCCCGGGTCTGAGTTCGGGTTCACGTCCCTGATAAATAATCATGTATTGGTTGAATATGAATAATTAGCTACTCGATTTTGACTAATATTTCGAAATGTTCAAAATATTTGTACTTTTTATGGAATTAAATTTGCCGGTTTTTAATTTGTTTTGAAAATTAAGCTCTTCTTTATTGTATTATTCCACTTTCTAATTCCCATAATGTAAATTTAGTAAACGGTATAAAACGCAAACTTGATAATATATATTTTTTAAGAAACTCAAATGAAGTAAATTTATATTTAACCTTCAAGGAGAGTCGAACACTGATCTCTTAGTCTGGTGGCAAATTAACGAAAGTCCAGTTTTACCTTATTTTTTTAACAAAAGAACACTTTTATTACATGATAATATAAAAAATATAAAAGACGATCACTCTATAAAGATGGAAGTAATTAAGGTCACTATCCGGGATTTGGTTCGGACCCATACAACCGGTTCAGACCATCATCCTCAAAAAACTAATCTGTGATTCTAAATAAAAAACAGGACTAGGACCGATCTTTTTATATTTTTGTCAATTTAAAAATATTTTCTTTTCGCTCACGTCGGTGGCCCAAATTAAAAAAATAAAAAATATTTCGAGTTAAACAATATTCGTTCCTGTTGTCACATCAACCCTCTAAAATTTCGACCACGAGGCACTTTCTTTCCTGAAGAAAATATAGGAGAAAAAATTATCCATCAGGGGCGATTCTAAAGATTATTTTTATATTCGCCAGAACATTGGTTTAAAAATCTACATCGTTTATTATAGTATTTTTATTAGTCTTTTTTTAAATATATATTTACCTTTTTTTTGTTTTATCATATTTATAGAATATATGTCGTATTGGGATATGCAATCCATGGGGATTCGGAATCTCTTAATTTTAAATCATTTACAGAGGTAGATTTATAAATATCCAAAATATATTTGACGGGACAAGTATTTCCGAATATATAGGGTACTCACACTGAATTTCAGACAATTTTACCAAGAACCTTTGGACTAGTCGTAATTCATATTGATTTTTATAAGTTTTTTTCATATAAATTAATAAATAAGATAGTTTTATGGCGAAAATGTCTAAAATTAATAGGGTAGGTACACTACACATGCTAGAATACATTTTCGGTTAAACCAGAAATTTACACACTTATTTCAACCTCTCTCAAAACCACCAAATAAAATCAAGGTCTCCAGAAAACACCGACATATATTATAAATGAATAGTTTTTTCGCTCCCAAAAAAGTTTTATCGATGGCTAGTGTGAACGAATATACCGGAGACGGTCATGTATTTCACTTCATTCATTCGGGCCTGGCCGGCATGTAAAAATTTTATGAATCACAAAAATTACGCTGATTAATGAACGATGAATGCTTTAATTTTGTTTGTAAAAGGTAAATCAAAAATAAATAGAGCTCTCGAAATCAACAAATGTCTCCAGAAAAAACCGACATAAATTATAAATGAATGAATTTTTCAGTCCCAAGAAAGTTTTACCGATGGCCAATATGAGCGAATATTAATTACTGGAGATGATCGCCGGACTGTAAAATATTAAGAATCACAAAAATTACGCGAATTAATGAACGAAGAATGTTTTAATTTATATTAAGAAAATGGTAGTATAAAAATATTATTGAAATTTATTATCGAAAATTGATATTTAGGGTGAATTCCATATCAAATCAACCAAAAAAAGTCGATTCTCAACCCGACCCTCTTCAATTTTTCTTAAATTTTGCATAATGGTAGTATAAACTATAACTAAGAAAAAAATGAAATTTTACCTCCCAACAAGGTTTACTCGCTAAGATATGGGCGTTTAAAGCGCGGAAAAATAGTACATTTTTGACAAAATGTGCCTCATTTATTTTCAAATATCTCGAGAAATAATTAAGTTAGAAAAATAATTTAAATTTTATTATGTAGCTTAATAATAGTTCTTTAATATGACATAAAAATAAATATGATATAAATTTGATGAATGTCCAAAACCGGATGTATAAAACCGGAAATGGCCATAGAAAAAAAAAGGTATTTTTTTTTTCGAAATTTTTTTTCCGTAGATAGATATAACACTGCTTTATATTTGTGCCAAATCCTAGCCTGGGATGAAAAAGGGTCTAGGAGTTATGACTCTTTATATGGCTTAAATTGATCAAAAATATCTTCATTTAATGAATACTTATGAAATAATGTTTTTTTTTAAATTATGTCTAAATGATAGGCCCTAACTTTTTTTTATTTTTAATTGTTAACATGTTGTGACTAAAAATTACTTGACAAAATAATTCTAAACCAATTTATAACTTTATTTTTCTGAAATGCATAATTACATATAATATAATAATTCATAATTATGTTTACAATATATCATATATTAAATTATCTAAAGAATTGGTATAAATTTTGACTTTAATTTTATTTTCATCAAGGGGAATATAAGCATGGTATTTTTGTGTTCCCGGAATTCTTTTTGCTCTCAAAAATCTGCTTTCTAGATGATTTTCCATATTATTGTATTCATTATTGCTTACAAAAATGTAATTTACTCCATGTATATTATTTGTTGCAAAGTCGAATAAATCCATTGGTGTCAAAATATGGTTTTGATATGGCAGTTGCAAACTAGCTCGAGCTGCTAGCCGTTTTGTAATACCTCCTAAACTGTCGCACGGACTTATTCCATGAGCTGTAGCAAAAAAATGCCACTCGGCCTTTATACCAAAATCACATTCATGATTATAGAGATTTATGAAATTTTTTTTATTTTTATATTGGATTACGGCCCCAATCAGAAAAATAATAAATTTTGGTCAATATATCAAATCTTTCTTTTAAAAATAAGATCATTTTAGTTTGAAATAAATAAAAGGCACAGGCATTGTGCTTTAAGCAATCTGATATCACCACTAAACTTATATGTTTTATAGTGTTGTCCTGACGATAAAAAATGATAAAAGGGTGAATAGTGGACTGATTATTTGTCCAATGAAATCCCTGTGCATGGTCTTGCACTAAAAATGCATAATTTTCCGAAAAGTCAGCAATAACTAAGTATTCGCCAACATTTAAATTAGATTTTAAATTGTTTTGAAATAATGAT